AAAAGGGCGCCTCAAAAATTGAGTTTTTGTTTCAAGTGTCCGGATACTGGTACCGTCCGGATACTGGGCAACATACTGTACACTTCTTCTTTGAATCATCAGGGCTCACTGGTAGCAAGCGTTTCATTAATTTTGAAAATGGACCATTATACAAAACCATGTTTCATCCAGTCTTTCAAGAATTACAGATGTACCTCCACAGTGAACTTTAATTACCGTTTGGCTTCATTAACCTAGTCTAACTTAAGAGGCCTGACTAGCTAAAAAACGAAGAAAATTTGGGTAGTGTTCAAGCCAACACTCTTACTAAGAGCTGAACTTCGAACTGACAGTTTTTAATCTTTTCAATAGTGTCCACTTTTCGTTATTAACTCATTTCAGAAATTATTGTTTTTCAAACGCACCTCAGATTTTGAAACCTGATATATGCTTTTATGAGCATAATAAAGCAGCTAATTGCTGGAACTGAGGTAGATGGTTTTATCTCGGGTACATCTCCTTTTTTTTTCTGGAAGACCCAAAAAGCGGGATAAAAAGAACGTAAAGGAACGACCAGAATCTGCATCTTCTTTCTTCGATGCAGATTATGTTGGCTTCAAGCACACGGCTTTCTTTTTCTTTAATCTTCACTTCCTTTTTCAGTTTTCTGCGTCCAGAAATCTTGGAAACTGTTTGCGCCATGGGAGAACAAACGTGCCTGTCAAATGCCTCTGAATACTTTCATAGATGGATGAGAGATCCAGTAAAGAACCCGTGAGTTGATTTGTTTTTTAAACTTTCTAACCGTTCAGTTGTTGTGGCGTGATTCTTAAGTAAAAGATCTAGAAAATTCTGGAAAACACCAGCTGCGCTTTCCGTTGTAGCTGCTGGTTTCAAAACTGAGGGATACTCCCTTTTATAAGGCATATAATTAGGTATGTGCTGTCCCAAAGGGTATCGTTTTTGCGCTGTTTTGATTTGAAAACGGGTATGGTTTTCGAGGGAACTACAGGAGTGTATGAACGTTTTTATCGTTTCAATTCCAAATGAATAGAGAAAGAGAAAAATGCGAATTTGAAATGAATTTTAAGAAATCTTTTCTGTTAGCGTTCTTATCTAACCGAATGATGACATAATATCTTAGAGGCCAGTGGCCCGTTTCTCGAAAGTCCCGATAATTAACGGGCCCGGTAAGCTGTCTCCGTTTACATTAAAGATCGAGGTTTCAATAGTTTTGCATCTAACACGATAAAACTGTCAGTTAGTGAAACAAAATGGAGTAGTTTGCCAGCCAGGACCCGCGCTCTTATTCTTTATATTTCGATTTGAATATTTGATTTCGGGCCCGTAAAGTTACCGGGACTTTCGAGAAACGGGCCCCAGGCCTGAAAAAAGGTATGGATTTTAGAAGCCAGGGGCCCGTTTCTCGAAAGTCCCGGTAACTTTTCGGGCCCGAAATCAAATATTCAAATCGAAATATAAAAAATAAGAGCGCGGGTCCTGGCAAGCAAACTACTCCATTTTGTTTCATTAACTGACAGTTTTATCACTTTAGATGCAAAACTATTGAAACCTCGATCTTTAATGTAAACGGAGACAGCTTACCGGGCCCGTTAATTATCGGAACTTTCGAGAAACGGGCCCCAGGTCTGAAAGTGGGCGTGAATAATGACATTTTTGGTCTGAAGTAGAGTCAGGGTTTAAAGAACTAGGCAACACACCCTACCAAGAATTCTCAAGAGTAACCCCCCCCGGTTTCAACACCAAGTCACGTCGGCTTCAAAGGTAAAAAAAAAGTTATATTTTAATCTTTAGAGTGCCAGCTAATTTCCGATCACTGGTGTATTATTATGGAATTGCTAAAGGCGGCCGTGAAGAGTGGGATTTTGCGTTTGATCAGTTGGTCCACACATCTGTAGCTTCAGAAAGCGCTAAGTTGATACATGGTTTAGCTGCTTCTAGTGAGCCTTGGATTTTGAGCAGGTAAATCTAATAAATTAAAATATTAGGTAAGAGTCGTTTGGTTTGTCAACTGTGTTTATTTTACCTACTCAGTCACAGTTAGTGAGAAGGTCAGTAGATCAGTCAGTCAGTTAGTCAGTAGGTCAGTCAGTAAGCCATTCAGTTATTCAGTCAGTCAACAGGTCGGTCTAGTCAGCCAGTCAGTCAGTCAGTCAGTCAGTCAGCAGGTCGGTCAAGGCAGCCAGTCAGCAAGTTAGTCAGTGAGTCAGTCAGTCAGTCTAGTAGGCCACTGAGTCAGACAGACGGTCAGTTAGTCAGTCAGTCTACTCAGCCAGTCAGTCAGTCAGTCAGACAGACAGTCAGCAGGTCAGTCAGCCAGTCATCCAGTCAGTCAGTCAGTCAGACAGACAGTCAGCAGGTTAGTCAGACAGTCAGTCAGCCGTTCAGGTCCAATCTGTCAGATTTGCTAATTCTCATTCACAGCCAAGGTTTGTCAGTCCAGTAGTTTAAGGCCTGGGTCTAATGGGTTTACCTGTGGAAAATGATTTATTGGCTATATCTTCGGCACAGAATTAGGAGCTGAATGAAAAATTGCCATACAAAGAACTTATCGTCCTTAAATTATAAATATTGTGTTAATAAGTCATATGGTATGTCACGTGACCATTTTCTTAAAATCGTAAATAATTGACAAACTGGTGGGGGGTTTGAGAAAAAAACTTAGTCAAGCAATAACATTTTTCTCATTCATTTAGTTCTAACACTTCACGTTTGGAATGACAGTTCATTGCGCTTCAATAAAAAAACTATAAGGCAAAACATCATTTTAAATGCCCAAATATAATCTTGAATTATTTAAAATTTTAATTTTAAACTTCGCGTACCTTCGTTCCAAACGTAAAGAGAAATGTATTTTTACCCTCTATCAGAAACTCCAATTTATTTCGCCACTGATTCGCCAATTTCTGTCATTTTCAATTTTTGGTAAAAAGGCACAAGAAGACCTCAAGATTTATTTTCGGGGAAAAATTCTAGAGAGAAATATTGCCAGTCAATCATATACTCCGAACACACTCTTGACCCAGGCCTTAAACTTCTTGAGCAGTTACTTCCCTTACACGCTTCAGCGGTGACGTTATTCCACATTATATAGGCATCAGTGAAACGTTCCTCTCAAGATGATTTTTAACGACGATCCTCCGCCAATCAGTTTTAGTAAGAATAGAGCCAGTTCTTTAGCAGTGACTGCTAACGTATAGTAACACGGTGGAAGAAATTGTGCGTTAGCAATCATTGTTGATTTACCGTCTTGTTAGACAAAGGCAACTTCACAGTTCGTCAGGAAATGTTAAAAGATTGCCTGAATAAGTGAACTGCAAAAACATCATGTCTTAATCGTTTCAGGTTCCTTCAATTTTCTTTGAACTCCAAACTAATCAAGTCATCAAACACTCCGTTAGTGATTGGTAAAGTTGCAGAGAATAGCCATGTTGGAAGACAGATAGCTTGGGACTTCATATTAAAACACTGGAATATACTAGAAAAACGGTTGAGTATTCTCTGGCCACTAGTACTTTTCTCTGTTTATTTGTTCTCGTGATAGGATTTTTCTGCTGTGTTTGGTCCATAACATGCAAAATTTGCTGCATTTAAAAGTCTACATCTAAAATATATAACCACAAATTTGATTTATTAACTAAGTCGGTGAAGTAAATTGGTCACCGTAAAGAGATTTTTAAGTTCGAAGCAAATCTGAACGTTTCCGCCACTCCATACTAGGACTGAAGTACAGTAGGGACCAGCTTGGGCGTCCGATTTTAATGCTTCAAGGCAATTCTTCCTTTGTTGCAATTGCTTTTAACCTGCAAGGGGGATAGACGTTCTGGTGTGTAACCTTTCTTCTCGTTTGATTGTAGGTATGAAGAGGGTTTATACATTCTATCTGGCATACTAGAATCTGTTACTCGTGGTTTTGCAAATGACTTTCAACTTCAGCAGGTCAGTTAATAGTTTGGAAAACAGATGAGTTTTTTTCATGATGAATATACTCAGTTAAGTTCCAGTAAAAATTCGGTGCAGATTTTCACCGAATAATTTTCACCTTCCTTTCTGTGGAATCAATATTTGTCCTTTGTTTTTTGCGGTGAAATAAACTGACACTGAACTAAACTGAATCCTCTTCTGCACTGCTCTTTTTTCTAGTCTTTAGGAGCTCGATGGGTTGCTTTTCATAAGCCATTTATAGAGAATTACATTTACACACATACGACGAGTCCAAAACTGAGTTACTAACTCCAGTTATATGATGTATCGATTTCCCGAAATCGTTTTGTTCAAATAATGATCAGCTTTAGAATCACGTTTACGAAAAAAGGCAAACGTAAGATTTGCAAATAAGAAATGAGCAGATAAAACGATGCAAAGTATTAAATTCATAACGATGAAACTGGCGTGAAACTACTAATATTTTTGTGGAAGAAATGAACAGTAAACGACAAGTAAAGGGACAACTTTTTCACTTGGTACAAATTGACGTTTTACTGTGCGATTTCTCGCGCGCTGATTGGTCGAGAGCCGTGGTCAATACGAGTACCGCGGAAATGACGTGATTGTGGCCCGATTTGTGTTTTTCTCTTTCTCGCGCGCGCGATTTTCTGACAAACTTCAACGGAAGTGTACGTCAAAACTTTCAATGTTATGTTAAAAAACAAATCGAGAACAATTTTCCATGGCCTGTACTCTTATCAACCATAGAAATGGCCGGTATGAAAGGTTCAAAACTCAAGAATACAGACCATGGAAAATTGTTGTCGATTTGTTAATTTGCTGATTGCTGTAAACTTGATAGCCTAAATCTCTGTAACATAAGAAAAATAAACCTTTGTGCGTGTAATTTTTTTCAGCTCCTGAGTTTTGTCAAAGAACTGGATAATGGATCTGGTTTGAGTAACCAGTCTTTGTCTCAAGCAGTCGAGGTGGTAAAATCTAACATAGCCTGGATTAAAAGGAATGAAAAGGACCTGGAAAACTGGTTGGAAACGTTTCTGTCCAAAAAAGGACTGTGTTTGACAAATCCGGAGTCCAATGAAAACTGTGAATGCTTAGAAAAAAGTGACAATTTCGAATGAAATTTTGCCTAGGTACTAAGCATTCAGAAAACGATACCCTATGATGTTTCCATTAAATCATGATTTATTATTTTGGTTCTAATGTAATATTATTTGAAAACAAGTAGGTCACTCAACAAAGGTAATCAGGCGTTGAAAAGCTAATAAAACCATGTAATTATATATGTAGAAATCCTTAGTTGAAAAGGAAATTCGAAAATTCATTTGTGCTCCATTTAGAAGTATTTTACGAAGTACTCTTCAAGTCCTGCTCAATATTTCAGCTTCCAGTTAACAATTAACCAGTGTGGCAAGAGATAATTGTTCCCCGGTGAATCTGGGAAGCCAAGAAGCTGCACTGACTGCCACATTGGGTCGAAATCAATTCCAACGACTTTAGAAATGTGTATGAAGCATAAGTATCTTAGTAAGACTTTGCTAACTGACTACAGTTAAACTCACGAATTTAGGAGAGAACATCAGCTAGCTGATGTGGTCCTGAAGAATCGTCAAACACAATCTTTTAAAAGTATTTCCCATTTAAAAGCTCATTCGTTTAAAAACTTAAGAGACTCTAGAATTTTGTTATTAAACCTACAAGCTTGTTAGGTAAGCTTAACCTGTTTTTCACTGTTTAATTTGCAAACAATAAAAAGGAACGTCCTTTTAATATTTAATAGCTTGTTTTTTTTTTAAGTTATCTTTGACTTTTGGTTGGAAAAGGGAGCATAGACGTAAAGGAGTGTCCGAAAAGGTTCCCGGGTTATTTGTTAGGTGTCACATGACCTCTAAGTAACCAATAAGCATTTGCATTGTTGAGGAAATATTCTAGCTGTATAACAATACCTTTTTACGTCAGACGAGAAAATTCACCATTAGGCCTTTTTTGAGAGCAAAATTCTTCGCATTTCCTCTCTTTCTGCATGAGTATAAAACGATAATTACAAAAAAAGAGGTTTGGTGGTGAAAGTTATTCGTCTTACGTAAAATGAGATAGAGGATATTGTGATAGGTCACTTTCGATATATTAAAATTCAGCATGATGGTGAGTCTTAGAGGACCTAAACAAAAAAAAAATGAATAAACAATTATGAATAAACATATTTATTTGTTTTCTTTGTTTGTGTCCTCTAAGACTCGCTATCATGCTGAATTATAATATATCGAAAGCGTCCCATGAACATTATCAACAGCACATGAAATGAAAAGACTCTGAATTGATTTGGGAACAGTCGTCCTAGTTATACGGTATATTATTGGCTTGAAGGAAGTCCTTTAACCAGTTGCCAATATCTTGCTCGTGGTCTTGACGCCATTGAATGTTCGCCTTAACTGTTTCTTCGGCCTGTTGTTGAGCCCGCGCTCCTGAACCAGCGGGGTGATTCTTGTTAAAGCTTATTAACTACCAAAAGAAGAAAGAAAGCATTAGTTGTTAGTGACCGCTTAAGGCCATCACAATATTCTCAAGGAGTCGAGCTTAAAAAAAAAAAAAACATTCAAAACTTATTTTACATAAAATCTGCCATGGCAATACAACAAGATTTAAAAAAGACATTCATGACCCAGGTTAACGAAAATATCATGCCATTTTTGTTCCAGGGACAATTGTGTTGACATAGGAGGCGACTTTGTCGTTTGGTTTTGTTGCGTAGTAAAAGCCACTTTAAAATAATGTTGGCCATCATTTTCCTCATCGACTGACGCTCAAGAAAAATGTAATTGTTATTAGCAGTTAACAGTTATTTTTACTTACGTCTTCGAGTTGGTATTCAGTAGCAAATCCTTCTGTAACTCCAAGAATTATCTTAGATATTGTGTAAAATCCTCCACCAAATCTGGTAATCAAAAGGAATTTCACACGGAAATAAACATTGAGTAATATATTTATTGGAAAAAAAAAAGAACACTACTGCAATAAGAACTCATTAAAGGATTCATCAAGAAAACTACCAAAGAAATTTGAAATGAGTGTCTGTAAACCTGACATGAAAGGAAAATTTGTAAAAAAAACCGTTTGTAACACTGGCTAGCGTCGTTTAGTCTCAGCCCCTACAATTTATCGCTTTCTGTTCGAGAATGTTAAGGCTCATATCACTGTTGTTATCAAAAACTGAATCATTGGATAATGCAATTCAAGAGCTCTGATTGGCTTAGCCATCATGGTATATGACCTACTATATCATGCACTCTAAATATGGTAACTGTACGCGTCTGCTCAAAATTAAAAACAGACTGAAAATAGGTTCTCGGGAGAAGCAAATGACCTTTTTTATTATTTAACTACTGACCAACAAACGTAAATTCAAAAGTACTTACTTTTCCATGATAAAGTCCCAGTTAAGTTTGATAAACTGCCACGTCAACTGCCGGCCATAAGGATTGTGGGTGGCGACGTTTAAAATTACAGAACGAGTGTCTTGTGTTCTGATCTTCTTTGGACGCACGGAATATTCCAAGTACCTAGGAAGAAAACTTGCGGAAATAACTCAACTCGTTCACAAGAAAAATGATAATATTGGGGTTTTCACTGTCACGCAATCAAAAATTTAATTGCAAACCATTCAATACAGAAAGTCAAGAATCTAGGAAATAAAAGAAGATAAATATTCAAAGAGCCTCGCCAAGCCGTGTGCGAAATTTCATATGAAAGATATTCGGGAAAACGTTTTAACCAAATTTTAAAGCTTTGTGTTTGTGTCCCTTTGAGGGGCACAAATATGGCCGCTGGAAACCAACAGAAACATCTGTTTTTGAGTTTTCCTACTAATGCGTAAATTCGTCGCTTGAAAAACTCATAAAAGATTAAAGTGATGTTTATTCTCAGACAAGGAATGTTTAGATAGCAAAATCTCCCAAAATTGGTAATGTTTTTAACCCACATAAGAGCCTTAGTTCCCGGCCGCCAGCTAAATGCCGGTTCACGCAAAAGCCTAGAATTCAAACGTCCTCTATCGCAAAACGAAGAACCCTGTAACACTATGGAGTCATGTCCTGTCCGTAATGTCCGTAAGTAAGAAAAGCGATAGATCTGAAGACCAGATACAAAATATTGTATCAATCAATTCGCAAACAAGGATAGTTTATTGCGCTCTAGTCGTCGCTAGTCATTTTATACCAATTTATTTTTTTCTAGTCAAAAGAAAGTTTGCAAAAAAGGGGTAACTGTGGTCAGCGGCATGCTATATACAATGAAGCAGAAAATAAGCGTGATCTGTTGCGTCAAAAAATTATTTTTCTTGATGCCAGCGGAATCCACGCTTCATTTTCCTTTCGACGCAAGTACTGCACCTGTTCAAGAGCCAGGGTTCACTTGCACCGGCCAAACCAAAAAGAAACTGCTGTCTTTCGCTTGCAACATATGACTTTTGAAACTGTTCAAAGAGAAAATTCCACTCCTTCACCCCACCATTTCTTACACCATAAAAGTACACCAGAGAGCGTAGGTTTGCTGGCACGCTGCAAAAAAAACAACAACAATAAAATATCAACTCCAAGAGTGAATGATGGAGTCTTGTAATTGTAAGGTGATCGGTTTTAACTTTCTTTTCAGTTTGTGGACGGAAAAGTTCCGTTCTGTGGATCATTCAAAAGCAACCTCTTTGGCATCCCTCTCACATGATTCTAATTGTTTCCAGCATTTTACAAAATAAAATTTGAAAATTTTATGGAAGTTTGATTTTGGCCACTATTGGGAAGAAAAGCTATTAGGATTAAAGATGAGAAGGATAAAAGGTCATGTTGTCCATTTTGGAGGGAGACACGTTCAAGGGATAATTTTAGCAGGAAAATGAGGAAAAATTTGATCCCGCGACGCTACAAGCATAGACTCGACTTTGGGGATTTAAAAAAAAGCGTGTCTTCGCAACACTTCGCCCCATGTAAGGTAATCCAAGAGAGTCTTGGATTCCGGATTCCACGCTGTGGATTCCGGATTCCATGCCTGTGGATTCCGGATTCCACATCCGTGGATTCCGGATTCCATAAGTGGCTGGATTCCAGATTTCAAAATTCTATTTTCTGGTTTTCAACGTTTCCTTTGTACTTTGTTTTCACCAAAAAAGCTTGTTCTTTTTTTACCCGAAGTGTACATTGTCTTATATAAAATATAAGTATAAAATATAATTCTTGGCCTTACCCGAGAGGATTATGAATATAGGAGCGGTTTCTGAAGTCCACTGAGTCCACATCGTTGAAGAAATACTAACGAGGAAGGGCTATTCTTATTTTAATAATAACAACGGCGTCAACAATAACAAAAGAGGTACACATTGCCAAAATCAGTGCTTTTCAGGTTCAAACATAATTCGTCTCCGAATTGTTTAATTGCCACACAGAAATGTAAAACTTCAGTTACAGCTTACCAACAAATAGCGTGAAGATAGTCCAATTACTATACTACAAGCTACGCAGGCAACGGAAACGTTTATCTCAGAATAAACCGTGTCGTTCTCCGTCCTGATAAACTAACTCCCGGCAGTCTTATCGGGAGGGATACTTCTCCCTCATCCTCTGCAGTTGGTGGTGCAGTTTCATTCTCATTGTCATCATCGTCACCGTAGTCCCCATTAGCAATTCGACAGAGCCTGTTATCCTCCTCTGTTGTTAAAATGATGTCTGATCCATCGGAAGAAAAGTCGAGTACTCGGGTTAGAATGCACTTGGGGGAATTCCCATTACAGACATCACCGGAGGTGTATGTTAGTGAATCACTTGTTTGGTTTAGCCACTTTAGGGATACTCTTTGCTGCACAAAATTTCCACCATTCACTTCTATTTGTACATCCTCCAGAAGAACTGCTAACCAGAAGGGTGAGATCTCTCTTCTACGGTTGTGTCTTACTGCCAATATGTCGTCTTTCTGGTAAATGGTTTGCACCCGTACAGCCGTACTCCGCAATGCCACATTAGCATCCACAACTTGGCAGGCTGTTGTTACGTCTTCGCTTTCCTCT